CCCCACCCCCCGCAAGATCGCCCAGACCGACAGAGAGGACATGCACGAGGACACTTAAGACTCTCACTGCCCTCCCCCAAAGCCTCCTGTCTTGTCTGCTCTGCGTCCTGCATCTGCGCCCGCCTCACGCCGTCCACACTGCGTCTACTCTCCTAGGAGCTGATGTATTTATTTTCCTTGAGTTTTTATTTATGGTAAAGTGTTCCCACCAATGGTTAAAGAGGACTTTAGACCCTGTAAAAAAAAAAAGAAAGAAAAGAAAGAAAGAAAGAAAAGAAAGAAAGAAAAACAAATGTGTTCCAGTGTATCGTCCTCAAAGGCTGGGCCCCAGGAACAACTCATCCAAAAGGTTTTCTTGACCACCCCAGCATTGAGCCTGAACTTGCTTGATGTAACTGTAAAATCTATTCTTTTAGAAATGAAACCACTCACCTGGTTACATTGTTGCAAAAATCATGATGATCTAGGATTCTTGAGCAAAGAGAAGTTCTAGATAAAGAAATTAAAGATCAGCTTTAAAATGATTACTGGGGAGGGAGAGAGGGAAGGCAAAAAATGAAGAGTTGATGCCAAGGGCTCAAGTAGAGAGAAAATGTTTTGAAAATGATGATGGCAACCAATGTACAGATGCCCTGGACACAATGGATGGATGTATGGATTGTGATAGGAGCTGTATGGGTCCCCAATAAAATGACTTTTAAAAATGTTTACTGTTAATCATATTGGGTTAAACTTTCTATAGCTAATGGTAAGAATCCCTACTTTATTCAACTAAGTATGTTGTTATTCGATCATTTCTTCATGATTCAAGGTAAACATTATTGATAACATCAGTATTTTCAATATTTTCTTATGTATCAGAAGTTTGCTCATTGGTCCAGTTGTGAGGACTTTTGTTCTCTTCGTGTCGAGGTTCAAGCACACTGCAGCCTCTACTCTCATTTCCGCAGTTTTCAAGTCCTCTTCTCTTCCGTAAGCCAGGTGTGCTCTCCAATAGTGCAGGGTGTTGATGGGCCTTCCCCCAGGCCTGATAGCGCGTTCTTCTCCGCAGAGTCTGTCATTTCCAATCATTTGCTTAACATGCAGATTGAGTAAACATGGCGAGAGAATACAATCATGATGCACACCTTTCCGAATTTTGTACAACTTAGTACCCCCAGTTCTGTTGAAATGACTGCCTGTTCGTCTATGCAAAGGGTCCGTCTGAGCACATTTAAGTGTTCTGGAATTCCCACACTTCTCAATGTTATATAGATATAGATCCATACAGATGTTTTTTTATGATCCACACAGTCTAATGCTTTTGCATAGTCAATGAAACACAAGTAAGCATCTTTCTGGCGTTTTGTGCCATCAGCAATGATAGCCCATGTTCCATATCCTTTTCTGGATCTGGTCTTCAATTTGGATGTACCACTACAGCTATTTTTCAGTTATCTTTAGCAAATATTTACTTGCATGCAACTGATATTAGTAACGTGTTGTTTGATAATTTCCACATTATTAGTTATTGGATCACTTTCCTTTTTAATGAACATAAATGCGATCACTTCCAGGTAGTTGGTCAGTACTCCTTTGCTCTGTTTGAACAAATGCCCCTTGGTCCATATGTAGGTTCTACATGAGCACAATTAAGTATTCTGGAATTCCGTTCTTCTCAATGCTACTCATAGTCTGTTAGGATCCACACAATTGAGCGCCTTTGCATAGTCAATAAAACACGAGTAGACATCTTTCTTGGTATATTCTGTTTTCACAAGATCCTGCAATGATATCCCTCTTGCCACATCCTCTTCTGAATCCGGCTTGAATTTCTGGCAGCTTCTTGTGGATGTGCTGCTGCAATCTTTGTTGAATGACCTTCAGGAAAATTTTCATTGCATGTAAGATTCATGATGCTGTTCGGTAATTTCTGCATTCTGCCAAGCCACCTCTCTTTCCTGATAGAATCCTTCAATATTGTGATTCAAGGGTTACCTTTTTTCTTCAGTTAGGTCAGCTTGCGACATGCTGGGTGTGCTCTTTCCTTTGGGTTTCTGATTATGGGTCTTTGCACATTCATCACGATGCTTGACTTGGTCTTTTTGTGCTTCCTTTTGGAGTTTTCTGCTATGCTTCTTTACCATCATGTCTTCCATTTCTTTTAGCTCCTCTGTGTCCAAGAGCCAACTTCAGGGTTTCTTATGAAGTTCTCTTTTGTCATGTTGATGGCCTTTGCCTTTATTTGATTCATGTAGAATGTTCCTTTTAAAAAAATGGTGTTCTTGATTGCCATCCAACTGCTCACCTGGTCTTCTGTCATTACAGTTCAGGGTGTCCAATATGTTCTTGAGATTGGCTCTAAATTCCGGGGGGATAGAGTCAAGGTTGTATTTTGGTTCTCGTGAACTTGTTGTAATTGTCTTTGGCTTCAACCTAAGCTTCTTATAAGTAATTGATGACCTCTTCCATCAGTTGCCTCCTGGCCTCATTTTGGCTGATGAGATTTAGCGTCTCATTGTCTCTTCCCACATATACAGTCAATTTGATTCTTCCGTGTTCTATCTGGTGAAGTCCATGTATATAATCACTATTTATGTTGTTGGGGGAAAAAGAGCATTTGCAATGAAGAAGCTTGCCTTGCAAAATTCTATCATGTAGTCTCCAGCTTCATTTCTATCACCATGGCTATCTTTTCTAACTACTGATCCTTTCTCTTTGCCTCCAACTTTTCTATTCCATTCACCAATAGTTCTCAATGTATATTGACTATAAGTTTGATCAATTTCAGTTTTTAGAAGTTTGTGAAATTCTTCAATTTCTTCATCATCGGCTTTAGTGGTTAGTTCATAAGTTTGAATAGCTGCATTCATCGGCCTTCCTTCTAGTTGTACAGATATTATCCTATCACAGACAGCATTGCACTTCAGGATAGAACTTAAAATGTCTATGACTGTGACTTTTAAATATTACCCCGTTTCCCCAAAAGTAAGACATCCCCTGAAAATAAGACCTAGCGCATCTTTGGTAGCAAAAGTTAATACAAGACACTGTCTTATTTTCGGGGAAACAGGGTATATAACTTGTATGGTAAGTCCTGTAATTTATTTTCTTGAACATGTCTTGGCTCTTTGGGGCCCTTTTCACTTTGATATATATATATATATATATATATATCTTTTAGAGTCACTTGTCCGATTCAACCAGAGACACTGTTGAAATTGACTGGGATTGTGTGTTAGTCTGGGTTGACTAGAGAAACAAATCCAGAGACACTCATATGTGTGTAAGATAGAGCTTAATATCACAGAGTCCAGATCAAGTCCATAAGTCTGATTTTAGCCCATAAGTCCAATGCTAGTCCATAAATCCTTCTTCAAACTCATGCAGTCACATGCAATGATGCCAAAGGCAGGAAGATCACAGGCCATTGGGTGAAAAGTCTTGTGGCTCCAGTGGCGGTGGAAGCATCTCAACGCTGGTGCGGGTCTCCAAGAGGCTCCTCCAGCTCTCTGAGTGTGGCTTCTCAACAGGAAGATGAAGCAGAGAGAGAATGTGGCCCACCTCCAGGGAGAAAGAGAGGAAGTTCTCAGAATCTCATGAGAAGGCCACACCCACAAGGAGGCATCACCAGGTTGTGACCTGATTGACAGACTAGATTCCACCCCTACATTTATTTATCCAGTTGACATGAAATCATGTAATGACCACAGATTGCAATTGGATGTTTAACATTAGAAAGTCAATTAATGTAATCATACATCTCAACTTCCTTTCAGCCATGTAAGGCAACATATTCATATGCTCTAAGGATTAGGATTTGGACAGCTGGTGAGGGACCATCAGTCTACCTATCGCAATTTATTGATTTATACCCTGCAATTTTACTAAACTCTATTATGAATGTTCATTTGTCTGTAAGCTCTCTTGGCTTTTCGACATCGACAATGAAATCATGTGCCGTTTGTTTTGTCCTTGCCCAGCGAGCACATGTATGTGCTCTCACACATTACTGCACTGGCCAAAGTCTTCACCATCATATTGAGTAGAAACAGTCATATTAACAACCCTATCTTATTTTTATCTGAAGTGGAATGGTTCCAGGATCTCACCATTAAGCATATAATTGCTCTAGTTTTAATTTTTCTCCAGAAATTACTTAGATCTTCTGATTCTTCTCCTTTCATGTTTATATGGTTGAGGTAGTTAGTTTATTGTGCCAACCTGGCCGATAAACACATGTGGGGTTAATTGAAGGGCAGAGGGATAAATGGCTCAGTGAGCCTTGTCTTTCTAGTTCTCAGGTCTCTTGCTTTCTGATGGTCAGACCAGGGTGCAGCTGCCTTAGCCAGTTCCCTGCTTCAGGTTGCAAGGCTGACTTCCTGCAAGGCATCCCCAAGGAGAAACCACATGGACCTACCCCGATGCAGCCCTGGATGCTGGAGCAGCAGTGTGGAGACACCTGCCAGCACTCAGATGTTTACATGTTCACTGACTCGGCTTTCCTCCTGCAGTCAGCATCATTGCATCTGTTTTGTGAGATGGAGGAGGACTGTGTGGATTGGTGTTGGATGCATGGGTCAATGGGTTAATGTTGGACTTGTGGGCTTGGGCAGCACTGGGTTGGGATGTTTTCTTGATGCTCACTTAACCTTTATATAAAACTCTCTGTTATACATGAATTTCTGTGGATTTGTTTCTCTAAAGTACCCAGACTAACACAAGACCCATATTTGTGCCTATTCCAAAGAAAGGTAACCCAAAAGAATGCTCAAATTATAGAATAATATCTCATACAAGCAAAATTTGACTGAAGATCACCCAATAATGGTTGCATCAGTGTATTGACAGGGAGATGCCAGAGGTTCAGGCTGGTTTCAGTAAAAGACATGGAACAAGGGATATATTTGGTGATATCAGATGTATCTTGGCTCAAAACAGAAGATACCAGAAAGGTGTCTACCTGTGTTTAACTGACTATGCCAAGACATTCAACAACATAACAAACTCATAACAAACGATGGATAATTTGGGGTAGAATATGAATTCCAGAACACTTCATTGTGCCCATGTGGAACT